TGATGATTACTTAACCAAATATATAACCAAATATGAGAACATGTATACAACTAAATTAAACAATCTCTTAAATATTTTCATTTAATACAATTTTTTTGTTAAATATTGCCCTTTATTTTTATTTAAAAAGGCATATTTCCTGCTTGGCTATAATCACCTTGAAGTCTTACCATCATCAGAAGTGGAGCTGCGCGTACAAGTTACAAAAAATGCTGTACACAGTGCACGTACACCACCATGTAAAATGAGGTCTCCCACAATCAACACACATGACTGCCCACACCGCGGTGACATCATTTTGGCCATGCACACCTATATATATGAAGAGTTCAGATGCAAAAGCCTCTAAGTGCCATTTGAAATTTTCTTCTAGAATGATCATTTTTATCAAGCTTGTATATTTAAGTTCAGTGATTTCACTTAATGGCAATGATAATTACCTATTAATTGTTATTTAAGTGAAATTACTGAACTTAAATATACAAGTTTGATAAAAATCATCATTAAAGAAGAAAATTTCAAATGGCATTTAGAGGCTTTTGCATCTGAACTCTTCATATATATATATATATATACTAGATCAAACAGTGACATGGAAACCAGGAGGCGTTGTGCTTTAACAAATAAGTTATAGAAAGCTTTTCAGTCCACAAATCACAATAAACAGCATTTACCATGGATTTCATGTAGTGACGATACTACTGTAACCATGATATTGTGGCAGAAATAATGTTTTTTACATTATTCATTTCAGGGATCATACAACCTTTTGAGAGTCAAATTCAAGCACTTTTCATATTAAGCTCTATCAGAGAATGTCTAATGGGCTTTATGCCCAGCTGCACTACTTCCTGAACTTCAGCCAGCTCCTTGTTTCCTGTCTGCCATTATTGGGCAAAATTGATTAATTCAGGTGTGTCTGATTATTGTTGCCATGACTACTGAGGTCAAGCACACCTGAATTAATCAATGTGTCCAATAATGGCAGACAGGAAACAAGGAGCTGGCTGAAATTCAGGAAGTAGTGCAGCTGTGCATAAAGCCAATTGAAGAGAATTGGCACTGGCTGGTTACTTCCGGTTTCTGGACTGGCTGCAGTAATACGTCTCTGTACATGTGGGGGCACTCGCGGTCGAGTGCAGAATGAATGGGAGTCAATGGGGTTTCACCCCCAGAAATCCACTTTTCTCAGGATGTAATTTTTTGTCAAGTAATTTGAAAGTTGCATTCAAAAGAAAGGGGTTATGATAATACACTCAGCTGAAAATTGCATTTTTAAGTTCATTTATCTGTTCTAAAAATCCATTCAAAAATGTGATGACTTCACACAATAGCAGAATGCTAGCGTGTTCCGGCCAACAATGGCCTAACCTGTAAGACATCGAAAGGACATAAGTAGTCGTTCATTCGACTTTTGGCCCATAATCTATATTGAACTTGAGGAATCAACAATAAAATCTATGTTGATTTAATGACAAGCAGGTGAAAGAGACACATTTAGCCGTTTAGCCCTAGCCTGACTTCGTCATACTCATATTCAAGAAAGAATATGAGTCTGAAACTCCTCCATTGGGCTTTGATTATGAGGTGTATCGTAACCGAACCAGGACAAAAAAAAAACCTCTGCACTCAATTGGATAGTCGGTAGACCTACCAACCAATCAGAGCAACGCATAAGTCAACTCCTTTGCATAGCGCAGTTTTCAAATACAGAACGTAGCCTACTTTATTTATTTTAGAAGTTAAATAACGAGTGTTACTTCTTTTACTTACTTCTCCATGAGTGCCACCAAAGGAGAAACCACAACCACCACAGGCTTTTCATTACGTCCCATCTTCTTAACGACCGTCAGAGCCAGCTGATAAGTTACACTTTTCCCGAATCATGTAGGAAGGACGCCAAAAATATCTTTCCGATCGACAAATGCCTTGATTGCAGTTTGATTTGTCTATTAAAATGAATGCGCTGTCGATTTTTTTTTTTACAAAAACAGCGGAATCTATACATCTCAATTCTCCAGCTGCAGTCATCTTTGACAAGCGCTCTTTGATAACGTGATGATTACGTCCCTGCAGATCATCCGTCCATCATCGTATAAAGCCCGCCCTGGCAATTTGATTGGCCCGTTCATTTTTTGCCTGATCATAATTACTCCTCAATGGATCGAGTCCAGACCGAACTTCCCGACTAAAAAATATTGTGGGCGGAGTTCGGGCTGGCATCCATGCTAGTTTAGCCCCATAGACTCCCATTCATTCTGCACTTGCCCGTGATCACCTCCAGTGGAATTCTAATGGAACTGCAACCATGATGATACCAAGGCTCTCCGTTACTTAGATGGGCTCTGGCTCTACATATTATCCAATTTAAATGCTATTTTTATTGTGATGACTAAAAACATTATTTGTTCAACCTTCAAACTTTGTCAACATTTGCATGAAAACTAACCCTTGGTGGCAAACAAACACTTTTATTTAAAAATAAAAAAGATATGAAATTACTACTATAACCAGTAGATGGCAGCAGAGGAGCACATATGTTTATATACCAAAAAAGTATTTTTATATACTGTTCATCAGTTCAATACGAGTCTATAGAAGAACAATGGTAGCCTACATTTAATAAGAGTAGAATATGTATTTTTTTTTTTTAATAAAAATTAGGGGTTTTGCATGTTACTATTGTTCTTTGATGGTTTCTGTATATAATCTGTTCACAATTTAAAAGATGATTAATTTCATCCTACTAAAATAAATGATGTGAAGTTGATATTTTAATCACTGGCTTCACTGATGTATAAACAGTATTGAACGATTTTGAGAGAAAGATTACCTGTCTGAACATGAACAATTAGTCTACACATCAGAAATTGTTGCTTGGCAGCTCGATCGATTTATTTTCAGACGTTCATCGAGGCCAGCTCTGTATTGGCCCAACTTAAGGGAAACAGTCGTTGGTGAAATGTTTGCTCCATACAAAACTTTGGGAAGTTTTGTCGGCGCATTTCTAGAGAAAATAAAATTAGCCCATAGTTTCTTCAGAGGCTCGGATGAAGGAACTAAAAACTACATTTGTGTTCAATTGTACATCCGAAGACTGATCAATTGCCATGCTTCACTCATTTGGAAGCCATTATATCTCTCGAGGAAAAACTCAAATTGTGCTCGCGCCTTCGTACTTCCTATCTCATCTTCTCATGTGCGAGTCAAATTCTCTGGGCAGGCAAAGCAGAGAAAGGGGAGGCTACCTTTCCTATGTATGATGTTATAGGGGGGACATTCAAGATCAGACCGTCTGAGCTTTTATTTTCTTAAAGGTAGAGAAAGTTTATACAGATTGAATTTTCTAGCCTCAGTGGGACCATGTACAGGCTAGGGGAACACATATTAATGTTAAAAACCTCAGAACGTGAAAATTTCATGTCAGGGGACCTTTAAATTAAAGTTAATTTTATCTTGCATCTGAATCTGAAGTGCTTTTGTCACTGTGCATTTCCTAGACATAAACATGTACTATTATATATATAGATATATATTAGTAACAAAACTTATTAATGCAAGTCATTTTTTATTAAATTGCCTTTGTTTACCCCCTTTGTGCATTCCACCTGTCACTCCAACAAACGACTACAAGAAATCCTTTAATAATGACAAAACCCCACATGCTTCAGCATACTTGCAGCACAATACATGAACCTTTTATAACTCTCAGTCGATGGCAAGCTTTTCTATACAAATTGAATTTCGAGCTGATAATAAAACTATCAATGAAAACAAACGAAGCGTTGTGTCTGTTCAGTCACTGTAACGTTAAGACCATCTATCAGAAATGCAATTGACACTTTTATTGCAGGAATGGTGGATTGGAGAGCACATGACGAGGAAGCCGTCTGCAATGATCCAGGCATCACCGATTCACAGCATCGTCACAGATTTTAATAAACAGCTTTCTGGCCTTTGGATTCGGAACATTTCACATTTTTGTTGGGTAACCTCACATTACACAGTCCGTGTTCATTTTGGTTACGAGCACCATTATTATAGCTGCCAACAGTGATTATTTTTAGATGTAAGGCTCCAATTATGTTTTATTTCTTGATTTTGGCACAGTAATAACTGTTCATTAAATATTATCAATATGTAACATGGACTGCAATGTAAAATGTCACCCTTTGTTATAACTGATGGAGTTAATATTGTTTAGCATTCCCTTACTAAAACACAAAGTACCCACATGCTGGCTATAATTAGATGTAAATATGAAGTTAATTTCATAAACATGCAAAGAAATGGTGATGAACTATGTTTAAAAACACACTGACTTGTATTCGACACGGACCAATGTGCTGTTTTCCTTTGTATCAATCAACCAGGAATGCAATGATAAAAATGCGCCAAAATGAAAAGAAATTATAAAATGGCATATAACAGAATTAGCATCGTGGATCAATGCAACAATAATGAGAGAAAGTAGCATAGGCGCTCGAATGCGCGTTACAATGTTACGCAGAACAACAAAAGATCATTATTGCGTCATAATCGCTGTTACATTGTTGCACATGGATGCGTCTGATTTTTTGATTGCGCTTCGTGTTTCCTCATAACAGCGTTTATGATTTGATCTCTTGTGTGTTTAAAGGCCCCAAACTCCTCCAGACACCATTTTGAGTGTCTCTGTGTCTCAGCTCTATGGAATGTCCAAATGCATGACAAGGGAATGAACAAAGTCAGCATGAAAAAAAAATCCATCTCATTCATGGATCCGTCCGGAAAACGGCGTTAACCGATATTCTAAACTCGAATAGGAGAAGCGAGTGCATTTGTTTTTCTCTTCAATCGCCATCAGACAGGATTAGAACGAGCCTCACCATCACTATCTCACACTGGCAGGGGGAAAGCATTGCTGCTGTTTGATGGTGGTGAAGCTCTAATGGTGGTTGGATGGTGTTTCTGGACTTTGAAAATCACTACTACATCAAACTACATAAAATGTTACTTACCGGTATGCGAGAGTTGAAATAGGTCTCCTTGATCCAGTCTGTGATCCCGGTTTAGAGCGATCTTCTGGGTTGCTGAGGGTCAGTCTATTCTCCGCGAGTGTGAAGGTTTCCTCCTCCGGTTGATTTTTCAGGCTGTATGGAAGCACATAAAGCGATGGGGGATGGGGGATGCCAGAAGAGAAGAGAGGAAGGGAGGGGGATAGAAAGAGAGCGACAGAGAGAGGGTGAGAGAGGGGGGCAGCTACATGGAAACACAAGGGGAGGACCTCTGTGCCTGACGCACGACTGAACGCACCAGTCACTCAGTGCATCATCCATTCGCCATATGAACAAGCAAAAATCATCCAATATGGCCAAATACGAATGCATGCGTGTGCATGGAAATAAACCATACTAAATTATGCTCTAACAATCCATATGCATGAACATTCATACATGTCTATATGTGTGTAAAAACAGCCTAAGTAAAAGTCAGAAAAATGCGCCAGTTTACGCACTCCCCCACATGTACGCACTTTTTTTGTTAAGTGTTGGTGCAGGAAATGTAGGCCTTTTATTGCAAAAACATCAATATATATATATATATATATATATATATATATATATATATATATATATATATATATATATATATACTGTTATCATTAACAACAACATCAACAATGATAGGCTAATAAAAATAAATATTTGTATCAATCAAATATAAGAATATTTTAGTATTGCCCGTATTTCCATATATTGTATTGATCATATATAGGAATAATAAATCTTCTTAAAAAAAAAAAAAAAAAAAAAAACACGAGTTGATAGTGACGAAAATGTATTTGTAATGTATTTTTCGCAGGCAGCCTATTAAACGAATAATGCATAAATACCAATTCTATACTTTTACAATTGATCTTACAGTTGTTATTTTTTTTGCCTTAAATTATGCATAATATAAATGATATATAGCCTAAAGATAATTATAAAATAATAATAATAAAAACAACAATAATATAATATAATATAATATAATCTCGCACCCTCTAATAAACCTCTAAATGGGGTACTAGAGAGAGGGAAGAAAGTAATGGAAATTAAACAAAATATGTAAACTAGTCTCATAATTCTACAAGTGGGGCATTTAATAAAACTCAGGATCATTCTGAATGGCCAATTTCCTAGTGAACCGGATAAAGAGAATTCAGCTCGGTTAGCTGGGAAAGAACAACAATGCCACCTTGTGTTTCGAACATGATATAGCTAAGATCACGTTTCATCTGTATTGCTTTTTCTTTTTTGTTCTTGAAAGATTATTTGAAACGTATCCAATGTATATTACATAAATTCCCTAACAAAAAGGAAGCCTATTATGTGACATTGTCTAGGTTGGCCCTATGGCATGCCTAATTATGTAGTATAGAGCTATATAACATATTACACAGTACAGTAGGCTGCTGCAAAGAGCACAATGTTATTTTCATGATGGTTTAAACATAATACAATACCGTAATACATGCTATTTCATGATTTTTACATGTTTTACTTTCTACATCTTTAAACAGTATAGAGACGAAAGAAAAGTGTCAGCAGAGATTGTTCTTAATTAAAAAAAAAAGTAGAGTTATGAGATAATACGCTCAACAGCACCCTCCACTGACAGTGAACAGAGTGACAGACAGTCTTATGAATTTACTGTCTTACAGTAAATGAATATCTTACAAATATAGGACATTTGGATTAGAGTCTCTTACTTACAACAATGCTTTCAAAGCAGATCGAGGCTACAAATAGCTGTTTCACCATTTCCTAGAATATTATCTGTGGTAGCCTACTATGTCCATAATACCATACTATGTTATATCATAATAAGGCAAAGTAGTTAAAGCTCTCAGGAGAGGAAATTAAACACATTGTAGGCCTATCAAACCTACAAGGTTCAAACTAAAGACAAACTACAATATCACCTTTTAAGGTTAAAGGTAGGCCTACTGCAATTCTGCAAATGATACTTATATATTATGTAAGTAAGAATTATTTTTGTATGTTCTATTATACAAAAAGTATTTTCTATTATATAAAGTGTCTCTTATCTTTTAGACAGCTGTTTGCTTCTTAAATGTACCAAATTCATTCATTATTTATCATCTTTAAGTGTCACTATCCCGGTGTTGTGCCTGTTTGGTATAGACTTTTATGTTGAATGGTTTTTATGTTCCTATTGTTTCTATGTTCATTCCTGTGGCCATGTTTGTAGTTTTCCATGATGATTTGTATTCCCCAGGTTTGTCTTGTTACTTGTTAAGCTTGTTTGCCCCTGTGTATAAATAGCCTCTGTGTTTCACTTGTTCTCTGTCAGTTGTCATGCCCTGCTCGTTAAAATGCTCTGATACCAACAACCGATACCATGCAGCGTGTGCACAGAGTTTGTGTCCAGTAGGTAGTGATGGCAAAATGAGGCTTCCTGCAGTCCATTGCTTCACCTAAAGGTTCATTACTCGAAGCTTACTAGTGACACCTAGCTACTGTACAAAGAAATAGCAGAATAATTAATTCTGAACCTGACCACATATGATGTTTGTGTATATCATGGTGGAGGGAGGTAAACTGCACAGAATAGTCTGGGGTGGTAAAAGTTAAGAATTGTTTCTGGGGGTTTTGTGCAGCGACCTGTTTCTAGTTTTAGTGCAGTGTTGTGCTTATGGGACTGGGGATATTAGAGAAGCAAAGTCCAACACTACAGTTGGCTCCATATTACCAGGAAAAATGAAGAGTTGCAAAAAGCAAACATATCCAAAAGGCAATCCAAAACAAAAAGCAGTCCAGTCCAGATCCAAAAATCCAAAGTAATCCAAATAATGTTATCTAATATATCCACAAGTTTCCGAGGGGCGCGCCTGTAAAAAATAAAGTGGGTGAAACTTTCGGTGACGCGACGGAAGTAGCATTCCAATGGTATTTTGTGTGTTAGTTAGCGAAGATGCTAGCTGTTTTTCGGAGAATTATTTTACTATTTTAAGACGCAAATCTTTATGAGAGATGTCGTTACGGAGCTCAGGGACAACATGTGCTGTTCGCGGTTGTATGTATAACCGGACTAAACTAGTTCAGTGGCTTAAACGTGATTGTTTTGAACATAAGCTGAAAACGAGTGATCCTGCCAGAGCCCGTCTCTGATCCTGCCAACGACTGTAACGTTAGTTTCCATCACCTCCCAAAAGACGACGAATCTTCCTGTGTACATTTTTTTTAATTCTTTATATTTTATAAACTCTATCAGCATGTGATTGGCTGTTCGCTACTGATGTTACACCTAAACTCAGGATCAAAGCCTGTGTTGACAGAATACCAAATGTGCCAGTAATGTATTCAAGCAGCACATTCATATTATAATTTTGAATAAACTCCAAAGCACAATGACTAAGTGTGTATTTTTTTATTTGAATTGTTTGTCAGCTCGCACAACTGTCTGTCACCATGCCTTGATGAGTATTGATAATTAATAATGTTATTATAATACTCCCAATCAACGACTGCGGAGGGTAAAGGTACTGTTATTTCACCCTTTTTAATTTCGTTGAGGTTGTGTTCCCACATTAGCTAGTTTGGATCGCTATAACTTGAATGACTGTCAACTGTTGAATGAACGAGTGTCAAGCATGTCAAGTCGCGCTTTGTTTACTTCCAACCGGAAGTCGCGCCCACTTTTGAGGAAACTTGTGGATAACAAGACTATAATATAGGTTCTATAATTATTAAAGGGATACTTCAGGATTTAGCATTAAGCTTTGTATTAGTAGAAAACTTGTAGTATTTTTGAATTACCATGCTTCCCTGGCAGCAAACTGACATTGAATCAACATGGAAACGACGTCTCTCATGACATTGAAACAACGTTGATTTTGCTCATCGAATTAACGTTGAACCAACGTCAGACGCGGCATTCTTTAAAGCTAAATGAAAATCGAAAATTGGTTTGCTTTCATAACGTTGAAACAATGTTGATTTCAAGTTGATTTTCCGTTAGTTTTGAAAGAATGACGCGTGTGACGTTGGTTCAACGTTAATTCGATGAGCAAAACAATGTCAGATCAACGTTGTTTCGATGTCATATTTCCACGTTGATTCAATGTCAGTTTGCCGTCTGGGTTGACGGGGGTTTCAGTCCTGCCTGCCCTGCCATGGTGGTCTACTGCTACGCCTTGGTTGTCTTCAGCTCTACCTGATTCGAAGTTTCATCAGCTCAGTTGAAGTAGTCTTCAGTCCCGTCTGCTCTGGCGTGGGGGTCTCCAGTTCCACCAGCTCTGCTGAAATGGTCTTCAGCTCCGTCTGCCCCATCATAGTGGTCATCGGCTCTGCCACTGGCTTGGCCCTGCTTCCCTCCACCTATTCCACCTTCACTACACCTCCCTCCTGGACTGTTTTGGACCGTCTGGAAGCCGCTTCGTTGAAGACGGCTCTGTCACGATCCCGGTGTTGTGACTGTTTTGTATGGACTTTTATGTTTTATGTTTTTTTTATGTTCCTATTGTTTCATTCTTGTGTCTTGTTCCTGTGGCCATATTTGTAGTTTTGAAGTTTTCCCTGTTGATTAGTCATCCCCAGGTGTGTCTTAATTGTTATCTTTTTTTTTTTTTAGCTTATTTGCCCCTCTGTAACCCTTGTTTTACTTTTTCTCTGTCAGTTGTTAGATGTAGATGATTACTGTTTATGCTTTCATTCCATGTTTCCTAGTTTCTCTTTTGACTTTAAACTCTGATTGCATGTGGATCCTTTTCTCTGCCTGTCTCCTTTGCCTGTCTTAATGCCCAACTGTAACAAAGTGGAACCTCAAATCTTAAAAAGGTTCTTAACTGTTGTTGGCAATTTTGTTTGCTTATTTAATTTTCTGCCTGTTACTCTAAATCAGGGCTATTCAATTGGCGGCCCGCGGGCCAAGTGCGGCCCGCCAATCATCTCCATGCGGCCCGAAAGCACTCCAACCTCCCCCTCCTATTTTCTGGTGGTGTGGCTAAATTTGGTTTGATTTGCGCGTGGCCGCAGTGGCGCGTGCAGCTGGATGACTATACGCACTGTGTGTGTACCATGAGCGCTCCGACTGACCTGAGAGAAACGTTTTCAGTCCGAATATTTCAGCAGTGCGTCCCGTATTTCTGTCGACTGAACCAGCGATATTAATCATTCGTTGGATCGATTCCTATTTCCTTTTCATAAATTGGCCAAACGTGCGTGCATAACGGTCGGAAACGATTCGGATTC